TGCTGGAGGCTGAATGCATTCAAAGAGAACATCGCTCCGTGATTTGCCTTCTGTACTCCTCATTACACATCCTCTGCTGAGCCTCGCCCCAGAGCCCACACACCAAATGAAACGGTTCCTTGATCCAGCTTGATAGAGCTATTCTTATATAGCATTTTCTTCCATGTCTTCAAAATATTATTTCATATTTGATTTGGATTCTTCCACTAATGTGTTTATGAAGAGAAAAAAAACCCCTCTATTTAAATATTACATATTGAGATGGCAGTTTTATGCAGAAAGTGTACTTCATTCAGCCACATTTTTATACAAGGACAGGAAGTCTGGTATGAAGAGCCTTGAACAAATACTCAAGCTTTCTGTAATTAATTTTGTAGCCACTCTGAGAATATTCATAGCTTCTAATCTCCCCCCACACCAGTATACTCTTGAGGCTGTATGTTTTTTGGTGCTTCCTAATCCACAAGTAGTTCTTTAAAATATTTTTCCAGTGAGGTGTTAAGAACAAACAATTTAAGGTTCCAAAGTAACAATTACTGCTGCACATTTCGAGCTGCTTAGCCCAAACAAGTTTTCAAGGTGTAGCTAAACGTAACCCTTTACTAACAGCTGTTGCAAGACAGCAGCCCAGAAATCCTTCCTAAAAGGTAAGAAGTTACATCTCTTGTTCCTGAAGGGATCACTCAGAAGAGATTTTTAGGGTTACTCCTACTCCTTTGGGATTCTGATGATATTAGCCAGACAGCCTGTGTTGCCACTCACCCGAAGGCAGGATCTGATACTTCAAGAAGATCCTATTAATAAAGTTAACTGAGTTAACGTTACCCTGCAACTATAGTTCCTGACTCCCATGGTACTTTAGTTGCACGTTTTATGACAAGTTCAGTAACTGAACTTGACCAGGAATCACTAATAACTGATGATGAAGAACAATCAAGCAAACCCTGCTTCTGAAAAAGACACATTGGTTTGACTTGATTTTTTCTTTTTACTTTTTTTGCAAAACTAAACCAAAAATAAGTCACCTCAGGATCTGGCTGTAACAGCTGTAAAAGGATAATCAAATATTTGGTGAGGATACCTCACAGAGGGAACTTGTTGGTTTCTGCTCATCTCTAACAATCTGATGGTAAGCATCAGACAACATCAGACAACATCATCACCCTCAGTGGTCCCCAGCTTCCTGTATTGTCAGCACAGAGGCAGAAAAAGCAGCAGATAATCCTCAGGCTGCTTCTGTTCTACCCTTATAGGGTTTCCAAATCCTAGCCATTCACTGCAAATGGCACTATAACATTATGTAGGTATTGAATATAATGGAGTTGGCTGGAACAGGTTTTCTCTGTGAAGACAAAACAGCAAGAGAAACACATGACAAGGACTAGTGGAGTTTCTCCAGTAACTTGATATTGCCCCCATGCAGCTCCTGCAAGTCATTAATAGACTGTATCGAGCAGAAAGAGCAACAAACTGCCAAGGATCTGGTCTAATACTGAAAGAGAGCTACAAGAAAACTGGCTACCAAGCTATGTGGAAGGTGCAGCTGTTGGACTGTGTACATCTTACACAGCTGGAATCCTTAAACTAGTAAGTACAGGAGTGTGGGGACTTGCAGGTTTATTCTGTACACAGCGTTGCTGCTTTTCTGAGCTACTGCACCCATGCTAGGAAGTCGTGCCAGGGAGCTGTGCCAAAAGGGCAGACTGCCACTCCTGGGCCCAAATTGGCTTATGCGGAACAAGCTTGAATGCGCCAGTATCACCCCCCGAGCTGTTCTTAGGGTCAGAGAGCACAGATCTCCTTTGGCACCGCCACTGTGACTGAAAGCTGCAGATATCCATACTCTGTTTCCCGTACAGAAACACTGGATTGCTCTAGGGATCAGACTTTGATAATTTCATACTAGTATATGAAGCAAAGCTCTGCCACTTTTCTCCAAACAAGGTTTTATTCACCTCTGGCAAGTGAGAAAAATCTAGGAAAGTCCTCATTCCTAACTGGTAGCATTGCAAGAACAGACAAATACGACTCAAAAACCAACCATGGCAAAAGCCAATCCTGAAACCTGCTGCCACTCCCACAAGCAGCACTATCAAGTGGGCAATCGCTGCAGTCCATGGCTTTAGTGTAGATTCAAACACTGGACCTGTGATAACTACCACTGATAACACAGAACGCTTGGAGGTGATGTCAGACCACTATTGGCACAGAGTCTTGGCATAAAAGTTGCTAAACAAGGCCTCTGCAGAAGAGGCCTGGATTTTAAAGTAAATTCCTCAGGTGGAGAGATACCAGGGGTGGGAAGAAGAAGGGCGAAAGGCAGGAGGGGAGGGAGGAAAGAGCTTATCCCGCTCCTCCTTCACCTTGGCAATGTGAAAGCAGTACAGCTGTTTCTCGGAGGCCTAGAAAACGTGGTGGTTATCGATAGAAATTCAACTCACGCCAGAGCTGGGCAGATCACATTTAATCCCAATTGCAAACTGACTTGCAGATCAAGTTTTAAGCAGCCTTCCTTTATGCTAACAAAAAATGCCCAAACAACCGGAAAACCCAACAACAGAGCGCTGGGACATTTGTTAAATGCTATGTCTCTCACCTCAGCAAGATACTAATCTGCTATGTCCATCAAACAGAGATATAATTACCTTACATAAAAGGCAGTATGTGAACCATGGCAATTTTTGCTAAACCAAAAGAGTAAGAGCTGGAACAAGAAACTGAGAGAGAAACCAGCCCAGAAATAAAACCAGACAAACAGGTTCTACATTAACTTGTAACCTACAGTAGACAGGGATCTAAGTGCAAAATCAATCAGCTTTTACTACAAGGATATTTCTCCAACTTCTACTTTGCATCCACAATCAGCTACATAAAACCACAGTATGATGCACTAACATTAAGACTTTGGATATTGGTAAGGAAATAACAGACAGAGCAGGGGTCTGATATTAAGATATTGCTGTTATGATCACAGAGAACATATGTATATCACTAGTCTACATGCAGACAAACATTTGAAAAGTCTCCTTCAGCATGTTCTCTAGCATTATGTTTTATTTCTTTATTTTAAACCTGCAGCTGCAAATGCTCTCTATGAGAGGGATAAAAAGTCTGGGGCTTTTCCAATCAAGAAGTTGTATTATAAAACATCTTGTGACCATCAAATGCTTCTCCTTTCATCATTCACAACTGAAAGTGTATTATGCAAAAAGAAAAAGGCAGAAACACGACACCCTGTTTCAAGTGGTCTGAAAAGGTTTTAATATTGGAAAGCCCAAGATCAGGCAGGTGGTTGTCCCGATGTCCTCACTGGTTTGGCACGGGAGCAAATAATCCTGTCACTCTCCTGCCATCAAGTCTCCAGCACTCTAGGAAACTGTTGACAAGGTTTCTTCCTGACCATTTCTGGCCAGAACACAACTCGGAGAAGCCAGACCACCCTTTCTTTTAATCTTAAATGAATCGCTCACCAGGAAAAATTAAAGGCCACCCTTAAGGAACAACTGATGTGAAAGGCCTCAGAATAAACTGTGTAAACAGGCATATTGAATAGTGTCCTCTTTTTTTAAAAAAAAAAAAAAAAAATCACACAAATATACTAGAGTTATTGATGCTAATAAATATACCACCTTTTAGTCCAATTTAGCAGGACAAAAAATTACTTCAACTACTATGTCCCTATTTTCTACCTCTGAGTAGTGATTCGGAAAAGTCCAAACCAATTAGTTTAGAACACTCTCCTTAGCAAAAGAGAACAAACTCTACTAAAATTCAAGAAAACATCAGTATTGATCTTTCTAGGATTAATAATATATTCAAATAATAAATAAAAGATAAATATTTCTGATACTTAGAAGAATGTTTACTCATTAAGTAGACTCATTAAGTAGTTTTAATGAAAATAAGGGTAAATCAGCAATACAGCAGCTATGTGTGTGATTCTTCTCTGCATGTATGACCTTGGGAGAAAGTAATAATCAACATTAACTAGTAAACCTGCAGTTGGCAGAAAACTGTAACAGATTTCACATTTAAGGTGTATGCAGACAGGTCCCATTCACTAGCCAAAGCATTTATTTACATTTACTGTTGTTATACAACACTATTCCAAATTATTCATTGAGAAACTTAATATACTTAGAAGTATCCCTGCTATGTAGATTTCTCCTTCCGAGAGAAAATGATTGCAAATCACATTCCTCTAAAGGAGTCTAGCAATAAAAACTAAATAAAGTGGAGAAAGGACTCCTAGCAGCATTCTTACTTACAACTTGCTAAAGTAAATTAAAAAAGTGAAATTTTCATTTCTACCCATGTTTAAAAGAAGCAAAAAACACATGAGCTTGACCACAAAAAGTTAATGGCATTTAATAGAAGTATCTAGACCTTTTCATTAATACAATTCACTAGGTTATAAAAATCAAAACCAGCTCCTTTCACGCAACAAATAAAGGTCGGGACTACATTCCAACTGCCAAAACCTGAAGAGCCTAATTTATCAGCCAACCCACAGCCTAATTTATCAGCCAACCCACAGCTGATGACTCCTTTCTTTAATTCAGAACCGGGAATATATAAATAGTTCTTTATTTCTGAAACATCTGGTTATTAGGAAGCCAAAATACTTCATGCTGCAACAGTTAAAGGCCATCTCTACATTTAGAGGCCTTCCCAGCCCCCTCGCCCAGGTACACGTCCTGGCTAGGTCTCGGCTGCATATCTGGATGCCAGACTATTACATGCCCTGATTTGCTCTGGAGACTTGTTTTACTTATACGGAAACAGAATTTATGGGGTACTCCTAAACTAATCAAGAAACATGGAACAGAACTAGAGTACATCTGTCCTTTGCCAAGACAAAGAAAGAGCATCATAGAAAGTGACCTGTTTGCAGGAAGCACCTAGTGAAATACCTGAAATGAAGATTATCAAGATTTCATTTTTTCGTATGGTATGATTAACAAACCTAGCAAAAGAAAGAATATTAAAAAAAGTACTACCTTCTTTTCAGTGGGACTTGAAGTCTTCGATACTAACGCTGCTTCCACAAGACCCTGCTCAAGTAAGGAATCATATTTTATGCTCCTTTTTCTGTTTCTCCTCTCCTTGTTTGCTGGCTTTTGTTCATTTTCCTCTGACTGGGACACATCTGCACCATTGTCTCCACAGATGGATGATTCAAAAAGAGGCTTTCCGTTCATGTAGGTTTTAGTGATTTTCAGCTTAATTTCTGGAGAGCCATTCTTGATAGGAGTAGTGTTGGGTGGTGTTCCAACTCCCTTTATTTCCTGGGGTTCAAAGCGCAGCTTGGCATCTTGGGCCCCAGACTCGCCGTTAAACACACGAGAGGTCAGATCTTTCAATTTATCAGCTGGAATAAATGGAAGAGCCTCATGGCCATTATATTTTTGCATTACACCTTCTTGTAGAGTGGCAGAAAGTTGTGCTTTGCCCAAGTAGACAGAACACTCACGATTCACTTCACAATTCTGAGTTTTCCCGTTGGTATTTCCAAGGATCTCTGGTACCTGCTTCATTTTGATGTAGTTAATTTTTTGAGTCAACAGCTGAGAACTTCTTTTGATGCTAAAGTCCATTCAGCCCAGATGTTTCCAGTCTTACACTGCTATATTAAGACAAAAAGACAGAGAATATTTTTAATAATACAGAACTATCAGAAGTCACCAAGCATTCAAAAATATGTACCCACCAATATAACACTCAATGTACTTGACAGAATTGGAGGGGACCTTAACGATCATCTGGTTCCTTCATTCAAGTACTACTAAAATAAGTGTCATTTACAATCTTCATAACTAAAAATACTTCAATATCTGTTAATATACATTATGAAGAAGTCCAAGAAAAAAAATGAGGAATCATCAATTCCATTAAAACAAAAGCAGAGAGTGAAAAATCACAGTTCTCATTTTAACAATCTGTTAACAATCGACAGCATGAGTCTTAGCCACGCTAATTACTCGAAGGTATTGCACTGTTTAAACCAGGTAAGAGTTAGACCTAAGATAATATCATTAACAACAATGCAGAACAGACGAGTTTATTTCTAAGAGGTTGTGCCAGAGTAAAAACCCCACAGGCTGTGTTACTGCAGCACCTACACCATGGACAGCAGCAGCATAAGCTTCTCTGCCTCACTCTACAAACAGGCCCTCGGCTCCCATCAAAGAAAACCTCCGGAGGAAAAGGCACAGCTCAGCGTTCAGAAGTGTCCCAAAGCCTGTGGGATAGCCAAAGGCTACGAGAACAAATGAAAACCAGGCATTTTGTGTTAAGAACATCAGTCCACTGGGAAACAGCCAATCCTTCAGGCCAGTGGCCACAATGGGCAAAACTTAAATAGTCAAAGCAACTACTGGAGTCTTCAGTTTTTTAATAACATCATTTAACACCCACTTTTCATACAGATATTAGAGAACATCCAACAAGCTAAAGCTGCACTATTACCTGCCCTACACAAGTTTCCTGAGGGTTCTGAAAGCTAACCCTGCCCACTTCAACATTATACTATCAGAGCAAACAAACGAATCCGGCAAAATGACTCCTTTGTGCTCCTAGACCAGGTAAGACGATAGTTTTCATTTTTAAAATTCATATATGTAGGCTCTTCATATATTACCAGCTCCAGTGCACACACGATATAGAGAAATACACCATCATAAACATTATGAAAGCTCAGCACAATCATCAGCATATCCATGCTCAAGGTAACCAATTTCATATATGATTAAGTCCAAGAACTGTCACATCGAATCAAAAATTCATCAAATCTAGTTTCATATCTTTCCAAAAAAGCGCAGTAAAAACTGTGATGAATAACTATTGAATTGTCAGTTGCTATGGAAGAAGTCTCTTCTGAATCTTACCACCTTGTTTATTAATGTACACAGTTATAATGTTCACAACTGGCATATTCCTGAAACGAGCGTATTTGCTACCTCTACATCAGGAGAAATGTATAAATGCTTATGACTGAGCATTACCCTAGCCTGGCAAAGCTTCCTAAGGGTGTCAAGCCTGAACTCAAAGCAATTGGCCAACATGAAGCCTTTTCATGCACAAAGATGCAGGGGAGGGAATCTCAAAATTAACTCCTTCGCTCCTTAGTAGACACCTCATCTCCATAACACTCTAAGGTACCTACAAGACAAAAGGGTATCTCTGCATACAAGCAATATAGACTCATTTGAGAGATGATCATTCTCCAGAGACAAATAGCAGCCTGTAAAGCTGGCATTAAGCAATGTAAGAAGTGCAAGTGTACCTGGACTCCAAGTGAATCTGTGACAGGAAAGGTTCTGAACTTTCTTTAGCCAGATGAAGTCTGAATCACCAATAAAAGCTCTGATAAGTTTCTGATAAAATGAGTGGAAACCAGCCAACTGTATTAATCCTCCTGTAGAGGAGTCAGAAGTAAAAGGAAACTCAAAATGCCACCAGAACAGATCAAAGACCTCACTAAACCAAAAGAGAACTCATGTGCTTTCACAAGACCTTCTCTGAAAACATGGACATGAGACAGACTCTCAAACCAATTAATAATATGACAGTGTTTCAAGCTGTGATTCAGTAGATTTAAATGAAATCATATTTATTTTAAGAAACAACTGATGACAAAATCTATAAATCTCTAGGCAAAAGGCAAACCCGTTACAGAACATGTGACGCTTATGGTTGTGGAGATGACAGCAAAATTCCTTAAAAAAAAACAAACAAAAGCAAACCAAAACACTGAATTGTTGCAAAATCTGTACTTCCTTCCCACAGATTCTTAACAGAGTACACCAGAACGCAAAACAGAGATTTCATGTGGGCATCTCAATTCCCTCTATCTAAAAAAACAAATTTAAAGTAGCAGCATTCCCACGGCCGCAGACGCCCTCCAGTGGTTGCCAGGCCCGGCCGGAGCAGCCAATGTCCCCGATCCAGCATCAAAAAAAGCCTCCCAGGACTTCCTCCCCTCCATCAGCTACACAGTTAAGTCGAGAAACATTTTTAAATAGGACTCCATTAGCTACTTATCGGGGTCTGGATTTCGGGATAGAGACATCTGCATTTTGTAACTGTGTTTTAATCCGTGATTCTACTAGGTTTGGGGGTTTCTTTTGGTTTTTGTTTTTGTTTTTTTTTCCTGCTTAGTAATAACTCCTGCTCTCAAATCACTCACTTCTTTAAAGTAGAAAGCCATCAAGCTTGAGGCAGACCAGGACAACTCAAACAAAAGCAACAGATAATCAAATTAGACTATGTTACCTGTACACTCAATCTCAAAATGCTGGATGCACTAAAGAAGTGATAGCTTCAAGAGTTTCAAAACAAAAAGAAAATACCTTAGAGTGACAGAGTAACTCAGGCTGGAAGGCCTCAAATCATCTATTCCAGCCCACTGCTCAAATCAGGGCCAATGCAGATAAAGCCGCTCAGGGCCTTGTCTGGACAAGGACCAGTAAATAAGTAAGTGAAAAGACACAGTTTAAAGAAACCTTTCTAGATAGTAGACATAGCAATTCCCTGTCATCAAAATATGAAGACCAATCAGACCACACAGTGAAAGACTTTTAGAGGTTACCTTGATGTGCCTAATCCATCTGAAGATACACAGTATGCAGGTTTTAGAACTTCAGTGAGTGAAGGTTCAGTTACTAAAACCAGCTGAAAGCACTGAAAAAGGCCCCTCAAATTGCTGGAGCCTAGAGAGACAACAAATCCAGGAGTTTAACTGGTAACATGAAATCGGTGTACCCAGGCTAACAGTAAGTGGGAAGATGAAAACAAAGGCAGTAATTTGAGAAGGTAAGATTATCAGAACCAGTAGATACAGATTACAGAATACGGAAAATAGGCCACGTCTGTACAAAGATTTAACGAAGCCAATGAGAAGAGACTTAGAGTAAGAGGCAGAATAACGGGCAAAGATAATTCACATGTGAGCACCTATAAGCAAATACAGTCCCACTAGGAAGATGAGACTTGCAGAGAGCAGTTTGCAGGTTAGTCACCATCTCTAGGACAACCAATGGAGGGAAATGGTCCACACGCATCTCAGTCCTCCTCCTTAAAATTAAGCTATGTCGCAGGGTCCAGTTAAATGGAAGAAGCTAGTCCATCTGCATATGGGAGTAACAAAGGGTCTTAAGAAAGAAGGGCAGAATTGAAGTTAGCTAAATTGTGAACAACTTCTGCTACCTAAAATTCTTTGCTACCTAAAATTACAGTGTAATGCTATAAGCAAGAAAAAGGACTAGGCTCTTTGTGAAGAGGATAGTGGAGCAGAAAAGAAAAGGATCAAGGAAAGGAAATGATCAGCACCAGATAACCAAGCAGTACCGTGAGCTTAGAATTAATGCAAGAAGATCTAGAAGCCAGGATGTGAAAGAATGAAGAAAGATAGATCGCAGACAAGATTTGGTGGATCAGAGCTGTAAGCGTAAGGTCCTGAAGCAGCTGAGCATATGATTAGATTTGGTAGTTAAATTAAGTGCACTCATGCCGGACCACCATATCGCACAGGAGCAAAAGCAATCCCTTATCTTCTTCTAGATGACTCTGCATCTATAGAAAAGGAAACTGGGGGGAGGGAAGGGAAAGGAATTGGACAAAAGCATCAAACACTAGTAGCAGCTAATGAGCTTAAGCTAGTATCATTCCATATGGACTATCGGGTGACCCAACAAGTACCATTTTCACTAACAAAGAGGAAAAAACACATAGCCAAAGAGTCTGCTGAATAAACATGACTTTTTGGCTTGTGAACAAGTAACTTTAAAGAAGCAAAAGAAGATTTGACTTATAAGAGAAAAGTCTCTATTTTAATCGGCCAGTGACAATCAGACAGGCTTTGCAATGGCTTTGTCCACATTTTCATACTAAAAACCCAGGTTCTACATAAGGCAAATTATTGTGCAGTTATTTAAAATAACGTTATTAATTATTTGAAGGTCCATCATCTGACAGCAGTCATGAGCCAAACGCAGTTAGTCGGCGTGTCAGATTCCTCCTTCACTGTCCAGGCCAGTATCATTTATGTGACATTTATTATTCATTTCTTCCACATCTGCTGCAATTTCAGAGATGCTTTTCTTGTGTGTCAGAAATAATGGAGCAGTCCATTCCTCCCAATTCTGCCAAAGGGAGCGAACAGAGTAAGTAATCAACAAGCATCACTACTAAATACCACTTTTGTTTTGCCTAAGGGTTTTCTTAAAGCTATTTCTCAGGTGAATTACTGGCGGGGGCAGGGAGAGGAATGAAGGGAGGAGGAAGATGACACATCTAAATACAAATTCACAGTAAGAGAACTGTATCCACAAAATCTATTTTTATTACCTACAAATCATGCTTTCAGCTGGCACGGAAAAAGCTAATAGATGGCTGCTGATTTTTTCCTGTAAAGACAGCTTTCTGATAAGCCTTCCCATCCTCTCATCAATTTTAAGACCAAAGGTTAACCCTATTTTCAGATGAGAATGAGACAAAATACTTCAAGAGATTAGTCAAGTTACAACACATTCTTGCTAATACATTTGAAAACTTGATGTGCTTATTCATATTATCTTGAATAAAAAAAACCCTAAAATATCTAATAGAAGTAGAGACATATTTATTATCA